CTATATAGACAGTACTTGCTAATTTTACTTGCTATATGAAAGAAATATAAAAGAAGTAGCTCAGGTTCTCTTGTAAAAATGGCAAAAGGTGAAACTTACAAAATGTAATGTGCATTATGCAAATTAGCATTTCAAACTCCCCAAACTCAAACTATCCCACCTATCTAACAATGTCAAAAACCAGCATGACCACTGGATATGTCCACGGCTTAGGCAGATCTATAAGGATCTCAGCAGAACATTGAAGATATCTGAGTTTGGATCAAAGCCATCGATATAAGCATGCTCACGAGTTGTATACCTATGTAGCAAGTAACAGAAGCCTCATACAAGTGCATTAAGAATCACAAACATAGTAATGGAATCTGATAGATACAAAAAGATTCAGGGAGTTTCACTTCTAAAAATGACAGACTAGATAATTCAGGCCAATCCTTCCACTGAAAATAACTTAAATAGCAAGAAATAATACTTTAAATATCTGTTTTAAGGCATTGGAAAGCTAAAGAGATAAAGACATATGAGACCAAGATGCAAGAGAAAAAAGAAACCCTATCCTTTCTCTCTCAAATATCAGCCCATTTCAGAAAAGGCAGCAGAGACACTGAGAAGCTGAATAGTTTTTCAACAGATGCATAGGGTAAAAGAAGAAAAACAAGTTGAGAGCCCTTCCCAGGAAGGGGGTCCCTGGTTAAACTTCTCCATCCCCACAACCCAGCCTGTGGGCTGGAACCCTGAAGGACTATACACTAGCAGGAAGGATGAATCAGAAATAGCTGAAACCTGGCACTAAAGTTTAACACTGAAATATCGCAACAATAAATGATAAGGTAATTCATGACTGCTATGGCCCCTAATCTAATCTGTAACCAAAAGGAAACATGTCCTTTCATACATAGTAATTATCAAATTATCTATGCAAGTTTACTTTGAAGAGAATGAAATAGTTTCTGTCATCAAAAATAACTAGACAATCAAAAGTAAACAGAAGGCAAAAACAATGCGATCAAAATCCCAGGAAAATAAGACATAATAGAAACAGACCTATAGAAGATCCAGATGATGGAGTTATGAGACACAGATACACAGATTGAGGATTAGAACTACAAAGTAAAAAGAAAAGAAATAAAAATTCTAGAAACAAAATATGTAATAACTGAAAATAAAAATCAGTGGGTGGTTTTAATAGATGTGATTCAGCTGAAGAAAGGAACTAAATGAAAGGTCAGAAGAAAACATTCCAAATGAAGAACGGAGAAACAAATTTTAAAAACTATAAAAATGGGGCTTCCCTGGTGGCACAGTGGTTGAGAGTCTGCCTGCCGATGCAGGGGACAGGGGTTCGTGCCCCAGTCTGGGAAGATCCCACATGCCGCAGAGTGGCTGGGCCCGTGAGCCATGGCCACTGAGCCTGCGCGTCCAGAGCCTGTGCTCCGCAACGGGAGAGGCCACAACAGTGAGAGGCCCGCATACTGCAAAAAAAAAAAAAATTATAAAAACAAACATAGAGAGGATCTGTCACCAAAAGACCCACTCTAAATAAAATTCTAAATGGAATTCTACCAGGTATATGCAGGTTCACTCTAAAGGAAATTTTACAGTATGTTCCTAAGGCATACATGGAATCTCAGAGATGTAGAAAGGAATAAAGAACATACAAAGAAATGCAAAACAAAGAAGAATAAATATAAGGGTAAATCTAAATGAACAATTATTGTATAAAATAATAACAGTGATGTCTTGTGTGGCTCGATTAAACATAGAATTAAAATACATGACAGTAAAAGAAAAGTGGAGAATGAGGTTAATGGAGTTAGAGTTTCTTAGATCCTTGCACTTGCTAGGAAGAGCTAAAAGTGCTAATTTATACTAGATTTAATAAATCAAGGATACATGTTCTAATCCCTATATTAGTTATAAAAAGAATTTAATAATAAGGTATAATTAGCAAGATAAATATGAAAAATGGAAAAATTAAAACTAATAAATCCAAAGGACAGAAGAAAAAATTTAAAAAACAACAGAGGTGCAACCAATAGAAAGTAAATAGTTAAGATGGTAGATTTACACAAACTAAATCAATATTTACATTAAATGTAATAGGGTAGATCCTCCAAATGAAAAACAAGGATAATTATATTTTTTAAATGTTAAATGATACTCTATAAAATAGCATAAAAATACCAACTCCAAGGCATAAATCTTATAAACAATGTATTAAATATAAGACATCTGGATAAAAAACTATAAAAAATTATTGGAGGGATTTGCTATGTTCATAATTGGAAAACGCAATATGTAAATATTTGTATTCTCTCCAAGTTGACCTACAGAAACAATGTAATCCAATCAACATCCCAGCAGGCTTTTAAACAACTTCATATTGATTCTAAAATGTAATGCAAAGAGTAAAAAACAAACAAGACAAGCTTGAAGAACAAAGTAAAAGGACTTACTCTACCATATTACAACTTATCAGAAAGCAACAGTAATCAAGACAGTGTGATATGAGCACTGGGATAGATGTATTAACTAGATGACTGAACGAAGAGTCCAGTAACAGATGCCCGCACATATGAACATCTGATTTATGACCAAGACAGAACTGTAAAGTAGTGGAGAAAGGGTGGTAAATGAAACTGAATCAATTGGATATCCATATAAAATGTATGACCTCTACTTCACACCAGAAACAAATATCAATTCCAAGTACATACTAGATCTTAATGTGAAAGGTAAAACACTATCCTTCTAGCAGATTATATAAGGGAATATTTTGATGATCTTAAGATAGGGAACAATTTCTCAAATAGGTCAAAAAAGCACTAACCACAAAAGAAAAGATGGAAAATGAACTAAATTAAATTTTAACAAAAGGTTCCATTAAAAGAGTTTTAAAAATAAGAAGCAGCAGCTGTAGAATAGGAGACAATATTTGAAATACGGATAACTGACAAAGTGCTTGTATACTAAATATATAAAAAACTCCCACAAATCAATAACAAAAAGACAATCAAGCCAGTAAAAAAGTGGGCAAAAGAAGCAAACTGGCATTTCAAAAAAGAAACTAGCCAATAGCCGACAAACATACGAAAAGATGCTCATCATCATTAGTAATCATGAAAATGCCAATAAAACCATGGTGAGATACTGTAAGCACCTAACATAATGGCTACTAATGAAAGACTAATAATACCAGGTCTTTGAAAAGCAACACAATTTCTCATATGCTGCTAAAGAGTATAAATTAGTGAAGCCACTTTGGACACCTGTTTATCAGTATCTACTAAATTGGAAGGCAACTAACAATTGCACTCCATGTTACATACCAACAGAAATGCAAACACGTGCACTAAAACAATAAGACTGGTAGCAGTAGGTTATGCGTAATAGCCCACAATTTGAAATAATTCAAATACCTATCATAAAATGTTAAAATATATTGCAGTATATCCATACGATGCAATACTAAGGAGCAATAAAAAATGAACAAACTGCAAGTACATGACACATCACCCAGAAATATCACAATCAGCAAAATGATCAGCAAAAGAAGTCAGACACAAAAAAAATGCCCTACATGGTTCCATTTATATAAAAAGTTCAAAACAGGCAAAATTAATCTATAGGTTTAAAAGTCAAAATAGTGGTCAGAAAAGGAGAAATCAGTGATTGGGAGGGGGAATAAGGAGGCTTCTTGTGCACTGGCAATGTTCTATTTCTAGATCTGGGTGGTGGTTTCATGGGTGTGCTCACCTTGTAATAATTCATCAAGCTATATAATAATACATGTACTTTTCTATAAGTACATTGTACCTCCAAACTTTTTAAATTAAAAATAAGAGAAAATAAGTTGATCTCTTTGAAATTAGAGCATATCCATATCTTAGCATATGCGGCCAAAAAATTCAAACTTCAAAATAAATTCAGCACATCTATGTAAGAAACTGTAAACACAGTAACATCTGGAGAAAAATTACAAGTGGAGAAAAATTATCTGCTTTTATTAGGAAACTCTCAATTTTAATAAAACAAGTTAAAATTCTGCTACTATCCCTTGCCTTACAAAAACAACGTTTTTGTGGTAAATGAATGAATACACAATTGCTCCTGAAGTGGATAAGTTTGCAACAGTTTAGTGACAAGTTCTAATGATATTTTTCTCGTAAAAAAAGAAAAAAAACAACCTGATGATGCAAAGAAATGGACAATGTATGTACTTTATTTTTTATTTTAATTCCATCAAGAATAGTGATTTGATAAAAAGAAATCACTTAATAATGAGTGTTGGGCTTCCCTGGGGGCGCAGTGGTTGAGAGTCCGCCTGCTGATGCAGGGGACACAGGTTCGTGCCCTTGTCCGGGAAGATCCCACATGCCGCGGAGTGGCTGCGCCCATGAGCCATGGCCGCTGAGCCTGCGCGTCCGGAGCCTGTTGCTCCACAACGGGAGAGGCCGCAACAGTGAGAGGCCCGCGTACCGCAAAAAACAAATAAATAAATAAATAATGAGTGTCAACAATCTGAGTTTGAGATAATAAAACTCGAGAATTAGGGTTTTTTTTCAATCAGCACCACGTCAAACAAAAAACAGAGAGCAAGGAGCTCTTTGCAGCAATGCTGATTACACGCTTCTGTGAGATGACCTGAAAATACTTAATGGGGAGTGTTACAGTCACTACCAAAAAATTCTGTATTTCTCAACTATCATTTAATAAAAACCACAATATCACTGAGTCAATAAAATTTTAAATCTCTTTCAAATATTCATGACTCTAAAAATTAATTCTATCTCTAATATACTACCACTATAAATATTTCAAACTTAAATACCTAAAATTCATGAATATTTTATAAGAGGTGCAAGAACATATTTTTAGACAAAATGGCACATACTACCCAAAAAGTTAAAATCTAGTAAACTTCACTGTGATTACGACCAGCTCAATCACTCTACCACCTGTGTATGAAATAAAACTTTCTCTAAATAAAGAGTTCTCACCACTTCTTGTTTTTGGGTTTCATTAAGTTTTTCAGTCAGTTCTTCCAAAGCCCTTTTTGTTTCAGCATCGGACCTAGGCACATAACAAAAAAAGAGTATTTTTTTAAGTTGGCTATTTGAGAAAATATACATAATTCATGAAATTTACAACATCATAATATGTTATTACATAATACTCTGCTGCAGTGGTTCTTAGACATTAGCAAACCTATGAAACACCTGGAGGACTTGTTACAAACACAGTATCTATCAGTAGATATGCAATGGAGCCCAAGAACGTACATCCTTACAAATTCCTAGGTGATGCTGATACTGACAATCTGGGGACTACACTTTGAGAAACAATGCTATACTAGATCACCTTCAATAAACAAACACACGGAAATATCTCCCATTTTAAATTAAGAAGAATGAAAGAGGTAAGGAGGACAAAACTCTTGATCTCACATCCTCTCCAGGAATTCGTAATCAAATTACATCTGAGTGTGCTATACAAACTCTGTCCTCACTCATTTATCTCCCATTACCTTTTTCCCATCAAATTAATAACACACATGATAAATAATCAAATCGTACAGGAAAACATATAAAGAAAAGCAAAGCCCTTTCTCTCTCACACTTATCTGGTTCCAACCCCCGCTGGCAACCATGCTCAACTAATACGTTCTCAATTCTTTTGCTGGCTACCTCCATCATTTTCAACTCTAGATATTTTCAACTCTGTTTTGAAATATTTAACTCACAATCCTCTTCAATTTCAGATAAATTTATTACTATTTTCAGTTCTTCTATTGGTTACCTGTGTAACTCAATACATTTATACCCATTATGAATTACTCCATCATAGAGAATTAATGCTTTTTGCTTACATTCTATCATGCTCACATTTTAGTCAGCTTCCTAGTTGGATCACTAACTTTCCTGTGCTTTTCTTTTTCTAAAGTTTTCTGTTACCTTTTGGCCTTACACAGGCCTTATTATCACATCATTGATGTTTTTCTCCCACTTATTACTCAATCATCTACTAAGAATCTACTCCATTCTTCTTGACTACATTCTTCTCAAAGGACACTTACTTCCTGCTCAAATTCAGTGATTACTTTCTGGGCCTGCTATATGGCTATCATGCTGGAAATTACTTTCACTGAAGTCTCGGGTTAGTTTTACTATTTCTTATAACCTATATCTTCCTTTTTCTTGGTTGCCATTTTATTTTACTCATATGCCCTTAGTAATTTCCTCAGAAAGAAGTTATCTTAAACGGTAGACTTTCTAAGTCTTTAGATCTCTGAGAAAGTCTTTACTTGTACTTCTTTCTTGGCTTTTGTGGTTCCATGTGCTGCTGGATTTCCCATACCTCACTAGCTCTTTCTTCTCAAGCCAGCTCCTCTTTTTATATGACTTCTAAATATTGGAATTCCTGGGCACTCAGCCCTGTCCTTGATGTTCTCCCTACAGTTTCTCTCTAGATATCATTCATTTCCATAGTTCCAAATACCACTTCTATATGCTTACCACACTTAAATTTATCTCTCTAATGGAGACTTCTCCTTTGAGTTCCAGAGTAAATATCTGGCTGCATATTTTACATTCCCACTTGGATATCTCACTGGCATCTGAAACCTAACATATCCAAGGCCAAACTCTTAATTTCTATGCCTCACCTACCCCCACCAGTCTTCCATATTTCATGAAGTGGATTTACCATCTATTCAGTTACTCAAAGTCAGAAATCTGAGAGTCATCCTTGGTTTATTCTCTCTTACCCCTCATATCCAATCCATTGCCAAATCCTAGCTCTCTGATCTCAAAAAAAAACTTGAAACATCCCTGTTCATCTCTCCCTTACCATAATTCTGGTCAAGCCATCATCTCTCATGCTAATGCAACTGTCTTCTAGTTCACCCTCCTCTAATCAATTTTTCATATGGCATCCAAAATAGGTGAGTTCTCAGTTAACTTTATATCATCCTTTCTAAAAGTTTACTTATTATAAATAATAAGTGTACTCTTATTATTTGTGTTCCTTTTGCAATAAATGTCATGAAAAAAATTAAAAATTAGTAAGTAAATGAGAATATCAACCTTTCTGAATCATGTAGGAAGTTAAACCTAACAACTTCCTACCCAGAATTTTTATAAACATGAATTAAGAATTGTGGTCTAAGTAAAGCAGAACTGGATCCTAAATCTTCCTCATCCACAAAGTTAAGCCACCAAGATTCAGAAGAAAACTGACTCTTATTTTGGCTTTAATAAAATTTCTCTGCCTTACATATGCCCCTTGGTCACACAAACTATTACCAGATGGTACCAGCCCATGGATCAGAAGATTCCCAGTCCACCACTGCATGTCCAAATGACCATTTAAACTAGTCAACTAAACCATCCCTGCAACTTCCCCTGTATCTTCCTACAGGACAACTACTTCCTGAAACTCATGTTCCTAATGCTTAATTTATACCCTTCCTCCAAATGTGGAAAAGCTACATAATAAAGCCATTCCAAGAACATACTGTATTAGAATATTAATGCCATTCTGTTGAGTTTATCAACTTGTCAGAAATAAATACCTAAGTATTAAATTAACTAACTCTTGCCATTTAAAAGATTAAGAACACAGCTCAATAATATAGTTTAAAATTCAGGAATTTAAATGCCTTATTCACATCAGCTATATGTGAAAATGATCTTGAACCACAGTGTACTATAAGGGGTAAAGAGCAGACACTGTGGGGCCTTACTGCCTAGGTTTGAATTCTGACTCCACCACATCCCTCCTTTGATCTCCAACAAGCTGAGTTACTTCATCTCTCTGTGCCCCTGTTTCCACAACAAAAAAAAATGGGGAAAATAATAATTACCACTTCACTAGAACTGTTGTAAGAATTATACCTAATTCTACCTGACATGAAATAAGTGTTCAATAATATTTACCAGTGGTAGTAGTAATAATGGTAACAGTAAGGTCTTTTATTCTTTTTACTAAATTTCCTGCCTTCCTCATACAGAAGCAGATTAGTTATGCAGACTATAGTTGATATTCAGATTTAACATTTACAGCTTTGATTCTTTTTGCTTTAGCAACACAAAACTGTCATGTGGAATGATTTCATTAGCTCGAGTACGAGTTAGCAAGTGAACCTAGTAAACGAATTTCAATTCACCTTTTTTGTTCTCTAATCGTTGCTGTATATAGATTATGACTTTTGAGATGGTATAAATGTTTGTTCCTTGAAAAATATGGTCTCTAAATGAAAGTCACCTGTCACCACTGATGATGAAAATGAAGACAGTGAAGAAATCTTAAATAAAGTGATACCTCTTAGGGACTACCCAGAATTGACAAAATTGCAAAAACTGGGCAGACATAAACAACTAGCTTTTGAAGATTTCAACTGAAAGATAAAATGTCAGATTCTACAGTGGCTCATGTCCACCGACAAATTCCACATTATGCTTTTATTTGCTCCAATGTCAATCAATGGGTCTCTCTCTCCAATGTATTTGCAAATCTACCTCTTTACTAAGGTCTTGCAACATATCTCTCCATAATGTCAGCATGAAATAAAATGTTCTTAAAAATATGAAACTAATTTGTCTAACACTGAGTCATGATACATTGTAAATTCAAAGGGTTTGGAACTGTTCTATGAATATACTTTAAAATACCAGTATAAAAACATAGCACTTTTTTTTTGGAAATTCATGTAAACATATCAATTATAGAACCTATTTTATTCTTCTAATAATTCATCCCTCAACAAAAATCATATTCAGCGTTTACCGGCTTCTTCTGGCAAGTTCCCGGTTGAAATCATCTCCAAGGCGAACTTGTTCACTGCTGAGGTCTCGGAGGGACTGATGAAAAGCATGAAACTAATAAAAGCAAAACAAAGTTTTCCATTTAGGATTCTGTTGAATTCTTCCATGAAGATTCACTGAGGGTAAGAATAAGAACTTGCTCTTTGCAAAAATACCCATATTTTATAATGTTATCAAGACCTAATAAAATTTTTTCCCTCAAAGAAAAGTTTTTAAAACTATATGTAACATTAACCATTACATCCTCTATAGTGCAGTATTTCACTCTTTATAGATACTCCTGAAAAGAGGTCTGGAAACTTTTTCTGTAAACAGTACAACAGCATATATTTCAGGCTTTCAGGTTCTATGGCCTGTGTCATAATTACTCAACTCTGCCATTATAGCTCTATGGCCTGTGTCATAATTACTCAACTCTGCCATTATAGCACAAAAGTAGCCATAATCAAATGAGCATGGCTGTTACGGAACTTTATTCAACTAAGACCACATGCCTCAGCATGCCAACCCATGCTGCCAAGAAACCCTTGCCCACATGCATGAGGAACCATGAACAAGAATGTATGGAGCAGGGCTTCCCTGGTGGCGCAGTGGTTGAGAGTCCACCTGCCGATGCAGGGGATACGGGTTCATGCCCCGGTCCGGGAAGATCCCACATGCCACGGAGCGGCTAGGCCTGTGAGCCATGGCCACTGAGCCTGCGCGTCCGGAGCCTGTGCTCCACAACGGGAGAGGCCACAATAGTGAGAGGCCCGCGTACCACACACACACACACACACACACACAAAAGAATGTATGGAGCAGCACTGTTCATGATGAGAACACTAAAAACAAACCAAAGTCCATTAAGAATGAAATGGAAATAAACTGCAATATACTCCTCCAGCGGAGTATCACACAGCAGTGAAAATGAAATGATCAAACCTACCTACACTCTGAAAACAGAACATTAAATGGAAAAGGAAAGTTACAAAAAAAGTTACACTGCATTATTCCATCTATATAAAGTTTAACACAGGCAATACTAAGCAAGATATAAGCAGTAAAAATATTTTTAAAAATCAAGAGAATGATTAACATAGAAGTCAAAATAGTTGATAGCCCTTGGGGAAAGGAGGAGTGTAAAAGAGGTTTGGGGTGTATTATAAACCTCTATTTCTTGGTCTGGGTGGTAGTTACATGGATTTTTCATATTGTACTTTTAATGGTAAATATGTATGCTATACATGTATGTGTAGGCTATAATTTATAATAAAAAACTAAGTTATACAGACTTGCAGAAATAACAAATTGATTCAACAAATTCACATTGTGCAACTAACCAGTGCCAGCAACTGTGCTGGGAAACAAGTGTCATGGGAGTCAGATATGTAAACAGAACCACAAATGCTGCACCGGGGCATTAAGAAAGTACACAGTCATATGGAGCTAAAGGTCATCATAAGAAATGGACTAAAACAAGGATGAACAATTAAAAAGAAAGGAGCAGAGGTAATACAGCAGATGAACAACAGACCATTCACTTAGGTTTTGCCGTGATGATTTTCCAGTTTTGCAAAGCAGAATCCTAGGACTCATCTTTGACACCGCCTTTTCACTCATTCCCACCCTCCCCGAATGGTCATCTGATCTTCAAGACCTTTCACTTTATCCACCAAATAGTTTTTAAATCTACCACTTTCTCTCCAACTCCATTTATCCTAATCCAAGTGGCCATCAGCTCACACCCAGAACACAGCAATATCCTTCTAATTGGTTTACCCACACTGACTCCATTTTCTGCACTAGAGCCAGAGTGATCTTTTCGAAGTAACTGTCACCCTCTTACGTGGCTGTGCATGGTCTCAGGGTTTCACACTTCTTTAGCCACATGGCCTTCTTTAAATTACTCATAGGTGCTATCTTCCTTCCTGCCAAGGTATTTGTTCTACCTCAAATGACTCTTACTCAACTTTCGGATCTCAGCTCAATCAGCCTTTCTTTGGGAAGCCTTCCCTAACTGCGGCAGGTCCCTCTATAAACACTCCTATAGCCCTATGCTTCCTTCCATTATAGCATGCATCTCGGCTCATAATTATGGGTGTATTTACATACTTTTTGATTAGTACCTAGCTACTCCTCTAAATTGTAAGCTCCGTGAAAAGGCAAGGTTTTTGTTTATCACTGTTTCCAAGCACAAGCACTGTCCCAGGACAAAGGCACTAAATAAATAAAATGAAAAAGTAATATTAGGATATTGTTCTCTGCTCTAGGTTTTATCACATAATCCACACTAGCAAGTTGCACCTACCAAAAAATAACACTGTCAAGGAAAAGTTTCTACAAGGCATCTTCTAATGCACTTGGTTCTGTTATCTCTTTATCTTATGTTATAAGGGAAAGCTACAGATGAGTATCCTAACAAACTCTGAGTCCTCAATCTTAAAACTACCAAAACAAAGATGTCTAAGTCAGCAACATCTCCTAGTCCTTATCTAATTAATTTAGCTACCCAACACAATAACAAAAAAATTTTTTTCAGCTCTTGCATAGAAGTTTAAAGAAGCAGAAAAAGAAATATAGCTATAGAACTAATACCTTCAAAATCTTTAGTGAATACATAGAAAAAGCCTAGAATTCCTGCTTAATACAATACAATATTGTTTCTGATTCAACAATCAGAAAAACACTAATGGAAAAATCAATAGGTTAACCACACAAAGACTAACTTGTTCATACTAAACTAAACTTAGCAAAATAGAAACTAGCTGACTTAGCAGAGCTTGGAAAAGAGAAAGCCATCTGAGCAAGGAAACAAAACATGTCCAGCTAAACTCACTTTTCAATGTTCTACAAAATATAATCCTCTGTAACAAAATTCAAAATAAATGTATGATGATGATCAACACATTGAAAATAAAATACTTTACTTGGTTTAAAAAAAAATCATTACAAAGTTAGTGATGATCAAACTCTTAGTTAAAATACAGCCATAAAATTCAAGTGTTAGTGATTTAAATAGAAATGCAAGGAACCAGACTACAGAATGGGTACAAAATACCTGGCCCACGTCATCAGTCTCCCGAACAAATCGGACACCAGTTCTGGACCTATTTCGTTTAATACCCTGTTGATCCCCATAGTCCTTCAGAGGTGAGGTAGGTGGAAAATGGTGGCTCTCTTTACAGAAGAAAGAAAAGGGAAAGGATTAAGAACACCATCTAAAATTTTACTCAGGAAATACACAGCAGACATGGACATATACATGTGCCCTCAAAGTGGATTATTTCCCACAGACAATCACAAACAAATATCTTGCTGTGGCCATAAAATTCCACAAAATTGGCACTTATCTTGCTCTTAAAGCAGATAAAATGAACAACTGAAATAACCTGGAACTAGAACACATCAAAAATTCTAATTGGCTGTACTTTTCAAAGAAGCAATATAGTATTTTCTCTTACATAAAAATAGTAAAAAAAAAAATAACTTTTATAACTTTTATACTAATAGAACAGAATTTTTCAAATAACAAATTATCTAAAATCTGAATGGTGTTTAAAAATCAGTATAGGGCTTCCCTGGTGGTGCAGTGGTTCAGAGTCTGCCTGCCGATGCAGGGGACACGGGTTCGTGCCCCGGTCCAGGAAGATCCCACATGCCGCGGAGCGGCTGGGCCCGTGAGCCATGGCCACTGAGCCTGCGCATACAGAGTCTGTGCTCCGCAACAGGGGAGGCCACAACAGTGAGAGGCCCGTGTACCGCAAAAAAATAAATAAATAAATAAAAAATCAGTATAAACTAAAGTACATAAAGAAATATAGCTGATTGTGATTTTTAATCATTATTATCATGACCAATAATGATATTAACAACACAAGCTACTAATGTTCACTCTGTCTAAATCGCCTCTCTTCACTGCAGACTTTTCTAAGTCTCTTCTATTTAAACATGAACCTCAGTGCTGTAGCAAAGTATAATTATATGCAAACTAAGTGTTATCACCTTTTATGTAGCCATTGAAATTGAGCTGCACACCAAGGATAAAATTCCCCTGTTATTAACAAGTGTCACAGGATATTTCATAATGAGACTTTTGAAAAACTATGAACCTAGGACAAGACTTCTAATCCAGAAAGTACACCACACAGTAAAGCCTATTTGTGTGTGTGTTTTGACTGGAGGCAGACAATTAAATAAGGTTCTGTCAGGTGAAGCTCTACATGGTCTACAGAGCCTAAGAAGAAAAAAGTAACAGACTCAGAATATCAAAGTCCCATTGAACATACTTCAAAGTATTCACTCTAAAACCCTGACTGCATCTTCTAACACCTTATTTGTATGATTTTATGTATGGGTTATATTTGTATAAATACTACATGTATTCAATATGTACTTCAGGAATATTTTTAAGACAAAGAAAAGGTTTCAGAACATCTGAAGAGTTTACCTGTCACAGTGCCACCATCGAGGTCACTTGTACTCAGACTTGTAACAGAAATACTTCTCCCTCCTGAGTTTCTCAATAACCTTTGACTCCGCAGTTGGCCTATTGATTGCTCCAAGCTTTCTTTTAACTAAATTAAAGGATACAATGAAGTTTAAAAAACTTCCAGATACAAATAGCCTAGAGATTTTAAAGCTATTTATGAACTATCTGGGTTCCCAAAGAGAATTTATATCAGAGAAAATTTTGAACTAAGTTATATTAATAGAAATATAAAAATAGTAAACATAAATATTTTAAGGCCCAATTCTAACATCTGGTTTTAAACAGCATCTGTCACTACCTATTCCATCTTTCTATTACCATCAGATTGATGTGCCACCCATGCTTAGAAACATAACAAGGCCAACACATCTGAAAAAGAGAAAGCCTTCCTCCCTTCTAAATATTCCTTCAGAAACCTCAGATCTATAATAAACAGGAAAATGAACAGCTGTCACAGTGACTTCTGCTTTGAAAAAAAAGTGCACTGCCCAATTCTGTAGCAGAGTGTCTTTCATTCAGTCAAAGATTTCAAATCCCAGAATACCATGTGGTCAGATGTTGGACTGTTAGTACAAACTAGGGTCACAGTTGTCCAAATGCTCTCTTCAGGTTATTAGGGAGTTAGCCAGCAGGGAATATAAGACAACATCTTTTAAGACCTAAAGAGCTACAATAAATAAAATCACGCTTAATACTGAGAATATAATCCAGAGCTGTACAGAACTATCGACCTGAAAAGAGGATTCAACTAAAACCCAAAGGAACAAAGAGTAAAACTTAGGAACTTAGGAAAATCCACATACCCTGAATTGCTGAGAAACTTCTGGTCTAGACATTTTAGCCAAGGATGAATAAAAAATAATATTAATAAAAATAACGTATGGATCCAGAAAACAAGTCATCTATAACTCTTTAAAGAGAATGTCAAAACAAAACAATTGATTGATAAGAGAGGGCTTCCTAAATTCAGCCAGAATTAAAAGGTAGAACACCACTTATGGAGGGAATAAGCTGGTTTCCTTGGGGAACTGTGCCGAAAGAAAATAGCTTCAACTGAAGGAAGAGCACAGCTGTGACAGAATATGAGTCACACATGAGCAAATCCTTTTTCACTTTGGTTGTTTGGACTTAGCTGTTCTGGAGAACTAAGGTTAAAATAGGATGGATTAAAAGAAGTAGAGTTAGAATTCCAACAATTTATCTCTATTACCACTCTCATTTCTGAAAAAAAAAAAAAGAAAGAAAGAAAAAGCTAATATTTCCATACCCTCTGTTCCCTGCTTCTCTAAACTGGCATATGTGCAATACCATCCTGCCTGAGTGTTCACCAGCTGTAGGACCTAGACTATCAATCCAGGAAACATACAGATGAGGCCTGGGAGAACTAAGGTCTACCTGGAGAGTAATTTATACACAAGTAAAATAAAAAACTATGTTTAACATGTAAGTAGTCAAGAGGTCTTACACAGTGAACACAAAATAGCATATCAGTAATCTATGACAAAGAGTCAGAATAAAATTGTACAATGTTAAAATTAAAAAGCTTAAATCCAAACTGTAACATTAAAAAAGGACTAGAAAGGTAAAATGACTTTAGATCACACAAGTTAGTGACAGAACCAGCTCTACTAACTTTTCCTGTGTTTATTATTTGCATCTTTCAAGCTAAGCCTGATGTCAGTATCCTTTTTCATAGTTTTTTTTTTTTTAATTGAAGTAAAGTTGATTATCCTTTTGGAAGTAAAGTCAGCTGACATTTCTAATTATTGCTTCTTTTTGAAGGTAATTTGCCCCTTACAGCTCTGGCTCTTTTTAAGATTTTCTCTTTGACTTTGAGTGTCAATGGTTTTACAATGATATGACTATGTACAGCTTTACTTGTAATTATCCCATTTCTGACCCATAGAGATCATGGAATCTGTAGCTTAATCTCTTTCATGTGTTGTAAATTTTCAGCCACATCTCTTCATTCTTTCTGCCTCATTTCTTTCTTTCCTCTCCTGGAAATCCAGTTGGATTTAAGTTTTATCCTTTTTACCAAATCCCATGGGTCATTTATGCTCTTTTCTGTACTGTTCATCCTTTCATTCCTCCATTCTTCTTTTTGGATATATTATGCTGATCTATCTCTCAATCTATTAATTCTCTCTTTAACTGTATACAAGCTGTTACTTAATCCATCGGTTGATGGTTTTTTCTAATTTATTTGTTTGTTTATCTTAGTTATATTTTTCAGTTTCTGTAATTTTCATTTTTTGCCTTTTTTGTTTGGTATTTTTTAGAGTTTTCAACTGTCAAAATTCTCAATCTTTTCATTTCTTTTTTTTTTTTGCTGTACACGGGCCTCTCACTGTTGTGGCCTCTCCCATTGCAGAGCACAGGCTCCAGATGTGCAGGCTCAGTGGCCATGGCTCATGGGCCCAGCCACTCCACGGCATGTGGGATCTTCCCGGACCGGGGCACAAACCCGTATCCCCTGCATCGGCAGGCAGACTCTCAACTACTGCGCCACCAGGGAAGCCCTCAATCTTTTAATTTCTTGAACAGGTTAATCATAGTTATTTTATAATCTCCTACTTGTTTCTGTTGTCTGTTTTTTCCCTTGGTTTTCAGTCAACTCTTGTATTTTCTTATGCCTGAGTATTTTTTTATCATGTGATAGACATTGTATATGAAAGCTGTAGAGTTATTTAAAGCTCTGGATGATGACATCTTCCTTCAGAAGGGATTTGGGTTTGCTTCTATCAGGAAGTCAGGCTAGGGTCACTAGGAAACCCAATGTACCTTAATTCATTAGAACTGAGATGATTCAAAGCTGGGCTTCTGTCCCCATCAGCACTGGTCAATTTTCAATTTATCACTGCTCTGATTTTCAATTCACCATTTTTCCTAGGCTATCACCCTTTGGGGTCTCAATCAAAAGCTGGAGGGTTCCTGAACTCCAATTTTGGTCTCTCTAGACTCTTTGAGTCTACAGATAGCGCTAATCTTATCTGCTTCTAAGCCACCTCTTTTGAAATCAGCTACTGCCTTGACAGAGAAAGAGTCCCAAATGTAGGACTCTTCCTTCTGGACTTCTATTTTTGCCAGATCTTGACTATAAAATTCCTCACTGCCTTGGTAGTTCTCTGATGGTTTCATAATATTATTTTTTACAATCTTTTTGCCTTTCCAGTTGATCTGAATGGGAGAGTTGATCCAAAATAATCTTATCTACCAATGCCAGAAGCAGAACTTGCCAGCATCCTTTTTTTTTTTTTTTTTTTTTTTTTTTTGCGGTATGTGGGCCTCTCACTGTTGTGGCCTCTCCCGTTGCGGAGCACAGGCTACGGACACGCAGGCTGAGCGGCCATGGCTCACGGGCCCAGCCACTCCGCGGCATGTGGGACCCTCCCGGACCAGGGCACGAACCTGCGTCCCCCACATCGGCAGGCAGACTCCCGACCACTGCGCCACCAGGGAAGCCCGCCAGCATCCTTTTTATGTGGGCTTATTTGCTAACAAATCCTGAGCTGTAACTAAAAGCTGATTAAGAAGATGAATTTTCACACACACATGCACACACACAATATCACTGCTAACAACAACAAAAAACTCACCATGGAACATATGGGAAAATACTGCAGAACAACAGAAATGATACACTACCCCCAAAATCTAGGAGGAATAACAGATGTTGGAAAATTGATCATTTCAAAAATAAGATAAAAAGTTAGACAAACTATTTGGCAACCTCATTTTAAACCTCTCAAAAGATGTATCATAAGCCATTGAACAGATGAACAGGCTAATACATAAAGACCAAAAAAATGAACTGTAAAAGGTAAATGAGTGAGATGAAGATTTCTTTTAATCACTCCTACAAACATCATGGCAAAAACAGATCCTCCACCTAAGATACAAAACTAAACATGTAATAAAATTAGAACCTACACTTAAAGTAGCAATAATACAACAGACACAGCACAAAATCTAGTCATGATGTACAAAACCAATTTGATAACTCCTAAAATACGAAAACCAAAAGATAAAATTTGTTTTAAATTCTTTAGGATTATAACTTCTAATTAGGTGCAAAAGCAAACCAAACTCGAAATTACATAAAAACAAAACAACACTAATAAAATTCAATTTAATATTAATTTATAATACTATGACGGATAAATGCTATTTTGCTGAAACTAAATCAGTGTTCCACACAGACTGTGGTACTGACTGCAATGGTGCAGATTCTAAAAGTTTATCATGAATACCTCATCACATACCAAGTGTTGATTCCATTTCCCCCACTTTCCCCTATATAAACTACCACAAAACCAGCATCAAGGAACATGTTATGACATATTTTCACCTCAACTTGATATAAATGTACCATTTACATATTAGGTCTATTCTTTTATCTCTGTTCATTTGACATTAGACTAAAACAAATGAAGCATTACTATAATGTACCAGTAAGAATAAAAATAAAACTTGGGCACTGAAATTGAATGGCAATACTTGTTTGCAAGGTAGTTTATCCAAATTGTTAAGACATGCTTTTAAACATAGAAGTCAAGTGGGAAATCTCTCTATAGCCAAAGATGAAATAATTTGGGCATCGATAAAAATATTAACTACAATGGAATAAAGCAGTTCAAACATGAATAAATTTGTGAGTTAATGATACTCAAGGAGAAAAAAACAGTCACTGGTCACCAGCAGAGAATGTTAGGGAAATAACTCATTATTTTGGAAACTAGTAAATAAATTTAAAAAATTTTAAACCATATAAGCTTTTAGATTAACATTAAGATAGCAAATTTTAAAATCCTCATAGAGATCTCTGAAAGCCCTGTGACATCTCTATTTGAAAGTCTGATTTGAGACAAAGTATAAGTCAAGCTTAAAGAATCAAAAAATACATACAACTCTGAAAAACTGACTATACTGCACACCAAATCTATGAAAAGAGATCATCTAGGCAGCAATGGGTACTCCATATAAGAAGTGTAATCATTAAAAACATCATGATTCACAAGGACCAGAGGAAAGCCTAGCAGTACTTTCCTCAGTTCTACTCCTTTTGTTTCTGTTCCTGTTGAC